CGCTCTCACTCACTGGACGCTCTCACTCACTGGCACTCTCACTCACTGCACTCCTACTCCTCGACTGCTCTCACTCACTGAGCCTCCTCCTGGACGCTCTCCTCACTGGGCCTCTCACTCACTGACGCTCTCACTCACTGGACGCTCTCACTCATTCGACGCTCTCACTCATTCGACGCTCTCACTCATTCAGCCTTTCTCACTCACTCGGCCTCCTCACTCACTGGGCCTCTCACTCACCTGGACGCCTCTCACTCACTGGACGCTCTCACTCACTGGACGCTCTCACTCACTGGACGCTCTCACTCACTCGACGCCTCTCCTCACTCGACACTCTCACTCACTCGACGCTCCTCACTCACTCGACCTCTCACTCACTCGGCCTTCTCCTCACTCGACGCTTCCTCAATGGACGCCTCACTCACTGGACGCTCTCACTCACTGGACGCTCTCCACTCACTGGACGCTCTCACTCCTCAGAAACTCTCACTCACTCGGCGCTCTCCTCCTCGGCGCCTCTCCTCGACGCTCTCACTCACTCGGCGCTCCTCCTCGGCGCTCTCCTCCTCGACGCTCTCACTCACTCGAGCCTCTCCTCACTGGACGCTCTCACTCACTGAACGCTCTCCTCACTGGACGCTCTCACTCACTGAACGCTCTCACTCACTGGACGCTCTCACTCCTCGACGCTCTCCTCACTCGACGCTCTCACTCACTCGACGCTCTCCACTCCTCCGGCGCTCTCACTCACTCGACGCTCTCACTCACTGGACGCTCTCACTCACTGGACGCTCTCACTCACTGGACGCTCTCACTCACTGGAACGCTCTCACTCACTGACGCCTCCCTCACTGGACGCTCTCACTCACTCGACGCTCTCACTCACTCGACGCTCTCACTCACTCTCATCTGGACAAACTAGAACTGTATTACACACACACACACACGTACAAACTGATGTTGTTGTTGTTGTTGTTGAGTCCGCGACCGTGAGTTACAGCTTTTACGATCACCCCCCCCACCTCTCTCTCTCTCTCTCTCTCTCTCTCTCTCTCTCATATCTTCAGGTGGTTCAACCGTCCAAGTTACTACCATAGACACCTTTGGAAAAATCATTTAAATTACAGTTCTCGACCTTAGTAACACCAAATGCTCTTATCAACGGCGATTTAAACCCAGAAAGGTACTGACACGACCCAAGAGTCCCAGACCACGAGAGGGAGGGGGGGAAGGAAGAAGGAAGGAAGAAAAGAGGAAGGGCCTCAATTTAACACACAGTTACCCTTCAAAAAACGATTGGTGGCAGTTTAGTGTTATAATGCCGGTCGTTAGCGAGTCAAAGGCGGTATACATATTCATAGGCAGATGTTTGAAGGCTCTCTGAACACCCAGTCTTTTTCTTACACTGGCGAACGTTCTCTCGTGTTGATGAGATAGTTGTTCTTGTGAGAGGAATTATTATAACCTATCTACCCTATATCTACTACCACACACACACACACACACACACACACACACACACACACCTCTCCCACACACACACACACACACACACACACACACACACCTCCCACACACACACACACACACCTCTCCCCACACACACACACACACCTCCTGCACACATGATCTATGATCTACATCTTCCCCAATCCCAAGGAAGCAAATATTCCCATTCATCACAGTGTCAGGTCACGAGTGCCACGCCATTGACACTGGCACTCTAGTCTACATTATTCTGTTCGGTCAATAATGCGTTTGTCGTTAACACTGCTAGACAATAAAGTTCATAACAAAGTAACAAGTGATAATAATAATAATAATAATAATAATAATAATAATGACGATGATGATACAAAATTAACATAAACCCCCCCTACACCTCTTATCTCCCAACCACCTTCCTCACCTCCCCCACTATTTCCAACACTGCCCCCCCCACACCAGCCACCCCCAACACGCCTCACACTAGCCACCCCAGCTCCCTGACACCTCCTGTCCCCTACCAGTTGTAGTCATAAATATGTCCTGTACTTACATAATGTGTAGGTTAGGTTAGGTTAGGTTAGGTTAGGTTGGACCTTAGTGATCCAGTATTTCCACTTTGTGTTTACTTGGTCACGTCCGCCTTGCTGATCTAACTGACAGTGTTATTAACGTGAGGGTTCCTTGACCACACCTGTTGCTGTTGATGTTGTTGTTGTTGTTGTTGTTGTTGTTGTTGTTGTGTAAATATTATTAACTATTTCCCTACACTCTACATGTTTCTCTACGGTCTACACCCTATCCTGTCCTCTACCCCCTCTTCACCCTCACTCCTCACACTTCTTTCTTACACCCTACACCCACCCTTGACACCCCACACCCATCCTTAACACCCTACACCCATCCTTAACACCCTAAACCTTCCTAACACCCCAACACCATCCTCACACCCTACACCCATCCCCAACACCCCACACCCTTCCTTAACACCCTACACCCATCCTAACACCCTACACCCTTCCTTAACACCCTACACCCATCCTTAACACCCTACACCCCTTCCTTAACACCCCACACCTTCCTTAACACCCTACACCCCCTCCTTAACACCCCTACACCCATCCTTACACCCTACACACTCCTTAACACCCACACCCCTCCCTTAACACCCTACACCCATCCTAACACCCTACACACTTCTTAACACCCTACACCCACCCTGACACCCCACACCCATCCTAACACCCTACACCCCTCCCACCCTACACCCATCCTAACACCACACCCTTCCTTAACACCCTAACACCCCTTCCTTAACACCCTACACCCCCTCCCAACACCCTACACCCATCCCAACACCCCACACCCATCCCCAACACCCCACACCCCTCCTAACACCCTACACCCATCCTAACACCCTACACCCCTTCCTAACACCCTACACCCTTCCTTAACACCCTACACCCTCCTTAACACCCTACACCCTTCAACACCCTACACCCCTTCCTAACACCCTACACCCTCCTAACACCCTACACCCTTCTTAACACCCTACACCCCTCCTAACACCCCTACACCCATCCTAACACCCTACACCCTTCCTAACACCCTACACCCTTCCTAACACCTACACTTCCTAACACCCTACACCCTTCCTTAACACCCTACACCCTTCCCTAACACCCTACACCTCCTTAACACCCTACACCCTTCCTTAACACCCTACACCCCTCCCCCAACACCCACACCCATCCTTAACACCCCACACCCTTCCTTAACACCCTACACCCTTCCTTAACACCCTACACCCTTACACTCTCTAGTCAACACCCCAAGAAGGTACTACCCGGGAAGACACGAGGAAGTTATACTGTGTTGTGTGTGTGTGTGGTAGAGTTGGTCAGGCTTCATCCCACACCAGCCTGTCTACTACACTTTGACCCCACCCAGTCTGTACTCGTAAAACCGATCAAAAGTTAGCCTGACAAGTTTTCGTCCTCCAAAAAAAATTGTATGTTTTTATTCACTCGTCAGAAGAAAGTAAAGAAAGTGCGTTTGTGTTTGAAAAGTTTGATCAAGATTTACTTTCTAACTTCGGGGCCAAAAAAAAGTGATATCTTGAATTTAAAAAAAAAAAAAAGTGAAGATATGTTCGTTGAAGGTCATTTTTTGAGGGAGGAAATAAAAGTCATGTTTTTTTTGTTTGTTTTTACTTCTTTTATATATTTTGTTTGTTCTTGTTTTGTTGTGTTTGCTTTTGTTTGGTTTTTGTTTTGTAGGCTGGAGGTCATTGTTTACTACGTGTATCTTGGTAATGGGTCATCCAGCTATTCCTTGTCTCCTGCTGCTGTGCCCATCCCTGGTCTCCGCTGCTGTGCCCATCCCTGGTCTCCGCGGCCCATCCCTGGTCTCCGCTGCTGTGCCCATCCCCCCGCTGTGCCCATCCCTGTCCGCGCTGTGCCCATCCCTGGTCTCCGCTGCTGTGCCCATCCCTGGTCTCCGCTGCCGTGCCCATCCCCTGGTCTCCTGCTGTACCCATCCCCTGGTCTCCACTGCTGTGCCCATCCTTCCTGCCTGCCATCCTGTCCCCCGCCATCCCTCGCCGCATCCTGGTCCCTCCTGCCCTCCTGTCCCGCTGCGCCCATCTGTCTCCGCCCATCCCTGGTCTCCGCTGCCGTGCCCATCCCTGGTTCCGCTGCCCATCCTGGTCTCGCTGCTGTGCCCATCCCCTGGTCCCCGCTGCTGTGCCCATCCCTGGTCTCCGCTGCTGCCCATCCCTGGTCTCTGCTGTACCACCCTGGTCTCCACACTGCCCATCCCCTGGTCTCCGCTGCTGTGCCCATCCCCTGTCCTGCTGCCGTGCCCATCCCTGGTCTCCGCTGCTGTCCCATCCCTGGTCTCCTGCTGTGCCCATCCCCTGGTCTCCGCTGCCAGCCCATCCCCTGGTCTCCCTGCCTGCCCATCCTGTCTCCTGCCGTGCCCATCCCCTGGTCTCCGGCCTGTGCCCATCCCCTGGTTTCCACTGCTGCCCATCCCCTGGTCTCCGCTGCATGCCCATCCTCCTCGCTGCCAGCCTGCATCCTGGTCTCCGCCGCTGTGCTCCATCCCTGGTCTCCGCTGCTGTGCCTATCCCCTGGTCTCCTGCTGCTGTACCCATCCCCTGGTCTCCGCTGCTGTGCCCATCCCCTGGTCTCCGCTGCTGTGCCCATCCCCTGGTCTCCACTGCTGTGCCCATCCCCTGGTCTCCGCTGTGCCCATCCCCTGGTCTCTGCTGCTGTGCCCATCCCTGGTTCCGCTGCTGTGCCCATCCTGGTCTCTGCTGTGCTCCATCCCTGAAGGTCTCCGCTGCTGTACTCCATCCCCTGGTCTCTGCTGCTGTGCTGCCCATCCTGGTCTCCGCTGCTGTGCCCATCCCCTGGTCTCCGCTGCTGTACCCAGTCCTGGTCTCCGCTGCTGTGCCCATCCCCTGGTCTCCGCTGCTGTGCCCATCCCCTGGTCTCCACTGCTGTGCCCATCCCCTGGTCTCCGCTGCATATTCTAGGCTGGTACAGTATCTGGGTATAGTACGGGGAGAGGGGGGGGAGGGAGGGAGGGAGGGAGGAAAGGAGGGAGGAGGGAAGGAGGGAGGAGAGGAGGGAGGAAGGGCATCTCGTTCTGGTCTTCCCCAAGAGCTGCCATCAGGTAATCACAGCTAACCAACTCAGGTGTGATTGAAAAATGGCCATAAAACGATGATGATGATGATGATGATGATGATGATGATGATGATGATGATGATTGTTTTGCTTGTTTCATATGTTTAATTTGTTTGCTTCTTGTTTGTCTCTCTTCATACTCAAAAGACTAAGCTCATCTACCTCTGTGTTATGACGGACTCTTTTAATGTGACAGCTCATTAATATATGTCTATGTTGAAGGAAATCACCGAGTAGGTCCGTTTGTCCATGGTCTAGTTACCAAGCCCTTTGAGCTATGGCCTTCAGACTGACAGAGCTGGTGGCTGAGGGTCATCTCTAGTAGCTTATCTCGGCTTATAATGATCGGTCGAGGTTGAAGGGTATGCGTATGGGGTCAAAGGTTATGGCTACGGGGGTTATATTTCAAGGTCACGGAGATCAAAGGTCAAGGTCACGGGAGTTAAAATAACTATCAACGGAAAACTTCATACATGCACATCCTGCTACACACACACACACACACACACACACACACACACACACACGCTCTTTCTTGCACAGTCACAAAAACGTTCAGAGTAATCAGTCTGCTCAGAAAAGCTCTACTTTTTTTTTTTGTTCCGTAATTCAGTCTGGTGTAGCGGAGTGTAAGAGTTGCGGGAGGAAGGTGATGGAAGACACGCTGTAATGATGAACACTTGAACTGCTGCCTGGAACACACACACACACTACTACTACTACTTTGCTGTCACTCGGAATCGAGTATGACGATCGTTCAGCTATAATACAATGATATGAGTTATTAAGGATGTTACCTAGGTTGGTAAGTTCTGAGGTGACTAAAGAGGCCGATACGGGACCGGCAGGGTCGTTCACAGATGTTGCACATTTGGGGAGCTACATCTAGTGCGGGAGGGGCGGCTGCAGCGTTTTTCCGGCGTTGGCCCTTGTCTGCCTCGGTATACATTCAGGCTAACTCGAAAGTATGAACACCTTCTCGTGTGGTGCTCCTCCAAGCGTTATGGTGTGGAGTAATCGTCTCCCAGGTGAGGGGATTGATTTGGCACTTTTTCAGGTTTGTCTTAAGACTATCCTTATACCCTTTCAGTTGCCCGCCAGCGTTACGTTTACTATTTGTTAGGTGACTGTAAGGTAGCTGCTTTGGCAGTCTACTGTCGTCCATGCAGGTAACATGGCCAGTCCAACGTAGTTGTTCATGGATAATGGTAGCCTCGATGCTCCTACAGTTGGTGTCAGCAAGAATACTGGCATTTGTTCTCTTGTCTTCCCAGCAAAGTCGGAGGATGTAACGTAAACTATGTTGGTGAAAGATTTCAAGTGCCTTGAGGTGCCTCCTGTACTGTATGTGACCCATGTCTCGCTGCCATATAGCAGGGTGGGGAGGACCACTGCTCAATATACGTGTAACTTTATAGATAATTTCAGTTCCCTACAACTGAAGACACGGTTTCGGAGTCTACCAAAGGATTGAGATGCACATCTGATTCATGTTGAATCTCTTCATCGATATCAGTAGTGGTGGACAGGTGGGAGCCGAGATACTGAAAGTGGGTAACATTAGAGAGGGTAGTACCGTTAAGCTGGGTGGATGGTGCAGGTGTGGATGAACCAGGGGCAGGCTGAAAGAGAATCTGAGTGTTATGTACATTCACCTCTAGGCCGAAGTGTGCATACGCATCTGTGTAGGTGTTCAGGATCTCCTGTAGGTCGCGTTCAGTGTGAGCGACAAGAGTGAGGTCGTCAGCAAACTGAAGTTCAGTAATGGAAATTTCCGACAACTATGTTCCTGCCTAGAGTCGTCTTATGTTGAAAAGATTCTTCATCCGGTACTCGATGTCCACCCCGCCGACTAAATTGGCACTGGCACGAGTAAGGAAGGCAGGCAAGAAAATGGAAACGAGAGTTGGTGAGAGTACACATCCCTTTTTAACCACCGTTGGGATGGGGAAGAACTCAGACTGGGTGCCATTGTGCAGGACACTGCCGTTCATGCCATCGTGGAGTTGCCTCACAATGGCGATGAATTTTGGTGGGCAGCCAAAACGGCTGAGGATCCACCAGAGGGCTTCCCTGTTAACCGAGTCGAAGATCTTGGTTAGGTCGATGAAAGCTTTGTACGGGTCACGATGCTGTTCTCTGCACTTTTCTTGTATCTGAAGGGTAGCAAAGATCATGTCAGTGGTGCCACGTGATGGTCTAAAGCCACATTGAGATTTTGGGAGGAAGTTTTCCGCCTCAGGAACAAGTCTGTTTAGGAGGACTCGGGCCAGCTACGGAGAGCAGCGAGATCCCGGGGTATTTGCCACAGTCTGGCCGGTCTCCCTTATTCTTATAAATATTGAAAATGGAAGCCTCTTTAAGAGCTTGAGGGATTTCCTCCTTTTCCCATATATTCTCCAGGAGAGAGTGGAGACAGCTGGTAAGCAGAGGTCCTCCTGCTTTATACACCTCAGCTGGGATTCCATCAACCCCTGAGGCTTTGTTGTTTTCATCTGTTTGGTGGCAGTAGCTACCTCCTCCAAGGGTGGGGGATACCTGAGGGACCTGCTGGGTAATCAGGACACACACACACACACACACACACACACACACACACAAATGTTTATTATTGGTGTCAGCCTGTACAGCCCGCGAGGTCGTCAGTATAAACAAGTTAACTGTACAGTATATGGAGAATAAATTTTTAATATAATAAAATAGTGTGTAGAGCAACAATAGTTTTTTGCCACTTCTATTTTCAACGGATTTTCTTAATAATTTAGATTTTTTTTTCTCAACAAGCTACACTATACACAAGTCCAGAGTTTTTATTTTACTATTACCATACTTATTTTATTTTATTTTTTCTCATATGTAAGTTTCAGAGGTTTATATAACTCAACATAACTTCTTGTTAAACTTACCTCAAGTTTAAATATTAGAAAATATTATTAACTGTAATTGGTATGAACTTATGACCAAAAATAAATATTACAATACTAGTCCAACTTTTCCCCGCACAAAATGTTCCAATAATGTATCATCCCTCACTCATATTCCCGCCATATCAAACACACTTTAAAAGGCTTCTATATGTAATTTATTGTATAACTATATTATTTCAAAAGAGTATAAATGTTTGGGTTAATTTGGAGTTTGTAAAGGAAAACCAACAATATGATGGGGGTAACTAAAAGAATTTTCCCTAAAATAAACCGGACTCCCCTATACACGAACTCAGTAAACTATTAGAATACGATGAAACACACAAAGTAAACGACGAGGAAGGGATAAACCCCCCAAAAAATAAAAAATAAAATAAAATTAAGTCAGTGGGAAAGAGAAACGAGAAGGAGATCATTAAGAAACACCAATAATACTCCACGTAAGAAAATAGGGGAGGAATTAATTGAATATTTGCTAAGAGCTTCCCCATCTTTGATCCTGGGAGGGGAGGATTGTTTACTCAGCTCTTCCTGTTTTTATCTTCCGTCATTAGACTCAGCGTGACGTGAGGACACACACCCACAGTCTCGTGTAGCTAGGAATTAGAATTTTCGCTGAGACTGTTTTTGTGAGGTGCCGAGACATCAAAGATGGTGGTGGTCGGGAGGAGGGGGTGGTGATGGTGAGGTGGTTGGAGTGATAATGGTGAATGGTGGTAATGGTGATGGTTGGGAGGATGACGAGGAAGAAGGAGAACCCGTAATCATTCTTGACGGTATCGTGTTGACATTGAGAAATTAACTGAGCTAATGAGAAACAGAAGAAAAAAAGAAGAATTGCCAATAAAGAGAAAACTAGTGACACACACAGACAGACAGAGAAAGCACCACCATCACCACCATCATCCCTCACAGTAAGACGACACACAGTCAAGGTACATCACCTCACACTTGACAACACTATCACTCGACCCTCACGAGGACGAGGTCGCTGGAGGAGTAGTGACCGTCTCAACACTTCAGTCTGATGGGTTTCAGGCTTCATAGGATCTAATCATAATAGGCCCCAGTTTTAATGGGTTCCAATCGTTTTTTGGCCTTAACGTAATAACATGACTGCGGCCCATTGTGCAGTATTATACGTATGACCAACTATAGCACAATATTGACTATAACAACCATCCCTACAACCCGCTCTCGCTCGGGCCAATAGATCATCGCCTTTGACTTTGATGAGTTAGTCTTGTTCTCACAGTGGCGCCCTCAGTCACGTCTATGTACACGTTATGTATACTTATTTTGTGTTGAATACCCATTAGGACTGGGGCCCACTAGCACTGGGACCCATTAGGACTGGGGACCCATTAGGACTGGGGACCCATTAGGACTGGGGCCCACTAGCACTGGGACCCATTAGGACTGTGGTCCACTAGGACTGGGAACCATTAGGACTGGGGCCCACTAGCATTGGGACCCATTAGGACTGGGGACCCATTGGGACTGGGACCAATATAACCATCGGCCATCGCCACTATTAGTCGTTCTGGAAAGAGTAGAGGAGGTATTTAATGTGTCCATTAGCGTCCATGTGTCCCAGATAATGTCTAGAATCATCCATGTGTCCGGGGGGTGGGGGGGCTCCCGGCTCCCTTTACACCAAGGTCCTCCAGCTCCCTCGGTGTACGGGCGAGGAGAAAGAAAATATATGCAATTTCCGTTGGTAGGTAGAGTGGGCGGGGAGAGAGGTTGTATATTGCTGGGTTGTGGAGGGTGACGCTGCCTTACCTCACTCACACACCCTCCGGGGAGGTGCTGGGTTGCCATGCTCCATCTGGGTGTGTTTTGGTGTGACGACTAGGAGGAACACACACACACACAAGGAGGCAGTGTATC